CTGCTACCCGCCCCGGGGGGTGGAGAAGCCCTTGCACACTCTGATGCAGGGGCAAGGCGTGTGCATGGAGTTGGCGGAGATCGAGGCCATCCAGGAAAGCTTGCAGACCTCTGGTAAGGTACCCCTGCGCTCCCACGACCTTGCTAGTCCGCCTTGCTCCCAGCCCCTTCCTCCCTACTCCGGCTGTCCTGGGAGCCCTTGAAAGTCCCCTATGAGTTGAGGAGAAGGCAGGTACGTGGCAGGGCGGCATGAGACAGGCTTAGCCCAGGAAACTGCTGCAGAGCCCTTAGCAGCCTGTTGCCACTGTCAGAGGTGTCTGTGTCCCATCCCTCTATCTCAGACCTCCCAGGGGTGCTTCTTTGGGGAGAGAGATCTCGATGGTAGGCCTGCGTGCTGGTGCAAGAGTGGCAAATTCAACGACCTAGTCCAGTCAAGTCAGCTGACCAGGGCCAGGAAACTGGAGGATGGGAATGGGGTGTGTGTGTGTGGGTGGGTGCACTTTCTGTCCTGTTCCACACCTGGGCCTCATCTGGGCCACAGGTGAAACCTCAGGAGTCCCAGGAGTCAGGGCCTGGACTTTCCATTTTGGAGTGGGACATTCAAATTACAGGGACTTTGGCGGTGAGGGGCACCCAACTTGCCCTTCCCCAAAACCCTGAGGCAGCCGACCTTGCTGTTTGAATGGTAGTGAGGAGACAGGGGTCTCTCTGCCAGGCCCGGGCACCTCTGCCTGCCCTGCTGTTCAAGCCACCAGCTCCTATATACTGGCAGGTGCCATTTGAGGTGGCAGGAAAGTCTTAGCTTCCAGCCCAGAGCCACAGAAACCTCATGGGTGTGGGATAGGAAATAGAGAAAAGCAGAGAGACAGAGACTCTTAGACCCTTTACTCTACCCTCCTTGCATTTTTTCCTTTTGCATCTCTCAGTCTCTTTTCTTCTTTCTTTTGTTCTTTCCTGCTTCGCCTCTCAGGTTCTAGTTTCTCTAATGACGTTCTCCAGTTCTCTTGTCTTCAGTGTCTTTTGCCCCTTATCAGTTTCTTTTCTCCCTCTCTCCCTATTGTCTTCCGTGTTTTTGTTTCTGTTGCCTGCGCCTCTCACTTTGCTCGCACTCTCTTCCCGTGGCTCTTCCTCTCTATGTCTCTGTCACTGTTTCTGCCCTTCTCCATTACTTTTGGGATCTCTCCCTCTCTGCCTTTCTGTACCCCTGCCCCTATGTCTCATTCCCTCCTGGACTCCGCTTTGCACTTCTCATGCCTCTGTCTGTGTCCTTCTCTTTTCCTGGTGGTTGAAGCTTCCATTGTTGTAGTCCGGATGCTGGGACTCCGGCCTGAGCTTCCTGCGCTGGGTCCCAGACCGCTCCACTTCCTCAATCCTCTACAGCTTGCGAGCCCAGCCAGAGGAGAGCAGGATGCAGGGAAAACAGGAAGGAGGTGGACCCCAGGGGTCTGGGCCTTGGGCCTCTCTGCCCTTCCTGCCCCTGGGCAGGGAGAGATGGGTCAGCAGAAAATGCTCTAGGAGAAATGCCAGCCTGGCACCCAGCACATCTGGGAAGGGGAGTTCCTGGGGGGAGTGAGTTTCTGATCTTGGGACAGAGATGCCAGTGCCAATGTGAGAGGAGGGGTACTGAGACCGGGAGGGAGGGGTGAGCCCTGGACATTCCATCCTCCACTGGCGAGCGGGTATCTGGCACCAGATCAGGATGGCTGGTAGCCTTCTCCGGTCTCTCCAACTTGAACATAAGGTAGACGCGCCCTCAGAGAACTTCTCCTCGGGTTGGGTAGGAATACCCATCCTATAGTGGAGGAAAATTTGATCCCCTAGGGGTTGTGGGGGCATGGCATGAACAATTTGTGATTACCCTGTGGCCATAACAAGACAAATGGATGGCAAGAAATGTTTAGGGCCTGATCTGGTTAGCATAGGTAGCTGAATGTTGAACTGCAGTGCTGGAAGCCACATGGCTGACCATGGGTTCAGATCCCTGGTTGACCTGGAACACTTCAGCTGGGCACCAAAGATCCTGACTAGTTGGAGAGCTGGAGAAGAGCATTCGAGGTATGATGGATCCTGTCAAGGATGCTCTCTCTCTCGTACGTAAACTCCCTCTCTATAATGAATAAAACGAAACAAACAAACAAAAACTAACTGTCTAGGAATGGGGTGGCTTTAGATCTCCTTTGGTCTACGGAGCTCAGGTCTCTAATGCCCCTCCCCTCTCCCTCCTTGCCTTGTCTTCCACCCCTGCAGTGGAGGCTGATGTCTGGAGAGGAAAAGGGAGGGGATCCGGAGAGTCCTGGGGAAACTAGGTACCTATCAGCAAGCTATGCCTGTGCTCTCTCACTTCCTAGTCATCATGAAGTACTCCCCTGCCACGGCCTAGACCATGTTGCACCATGTGAAAGGCTCCCCCTGAAGTTGTGCAGCAACCTTGAAGGGTCTTTGATGAGATAAGGCTATCAAGGCTCAGCCCCAGCCCTTCCACTCTCATTAGCCTCAGGCCTCTGTTCCTCTCAGATCTTAAGGCTGGGGCCCACTAGCCTGGGAATAGTTTGGTAGAGGGTATCGGGGTGTTCTTTCTGTCTTACCCTCTTCAGCAGGTTGCTGTGGGAGGATGGCCACGTGGCATGCCCTCTCCCTTGGTTTGCTATGATTCTACTGCCTCCTATTTGTCCCAGGGTAGGTCCCCCCCTTCCCTCGCCAGCCAGCTCTGCTCTTTGTCTCAGCTTTCCCAGCCAGCCAGCCAGGTGTGGATTAATAATGCCGAGGTCACTGGAGGTGGGGGGTGGGGCATGTGCGTCAGAAATCCACCACCCTGCATCATGGCGCTGACCCTCAAGCCATAGAATCTGGGGAGTGGATAGTGGGAAGATCATTGTTTGGATGGAGAGTTCCTAACTGGGCTCTGGGTCCCTCTAGGACAGGGATAGGGAACAGGCAGTCTGGGTTAATTTTTAGTCAACGCAGCAAATATTGTCTCCCCCTACTTCAGTACTGGGAATCCAGTCATGCCATGGGAACAGGGCCTTCCCAGAAATTCTGCGCCTTGGGGGTGGGGGGAGGAGGAGCATGGCTAGTTAACATTTTTTCTTTAATATTAGCAAAGCCAGAGTTACTGGTGCCTTGGGTATCAGGAGTCTTCGCATTTAAAGACCTAGAAGCTGGAGAGATAAGTCTCTTCTCTTCTCCCTAGACCAGGTCTACTTGGTTTCCTCATTTGTAAAATGGGGATGGTGGTAGGACCTGCCTCACAGGGTTAGTCTGTCTGACATAGAGCAAGAGCTCAATAAATTGGAGTGGTGTGGGGCTAGCAGGTGGCATGGTGGTTAAAGGCACTGGACTCCCGCATGGCCAACCATGTTCAAGTACTGGACCTGGTGGCTTGCTTTCTCACTTTCCCTCTCTCTCTCAATCTAGTCAAATTAAATAATAACAATAAAGTTAGGTAACTCTTTAAAAAATAATTTGGAGTGATGTTGAGGATGGCGATGAAGAAGAAACTGATGCCGGCAACTTTGTGGGATAGAACGGCAAGGAAGCAAAGTTTGAGGGGACATTCAGAGGAGGTGAGAGGGACTGGGGAGGGGGGTTTGGTGACTTTTGCTGCTGTGAAGATGGGAATTTGCCTGACCTAACTTTTTAGCCTGACACTTGTGGTATGCCCCTACTGAGATGGGGACACCCTTTGTGCCAGCCCTCAAATGAAGGACCTGGTTCCTGGCACAGGTGGTCTTGGCTTCTCCAACCAGAGTCTGGATAAAGAAGGAGAAGACTGGGACCAGCAGGTGGCATAATGGTTATGTTATTGGACTCTCATGTCATCAACCACAGTTTGAGTACCAGACCTGGCAGCTCAAAACTCACAGTGGGCGCACATGTGTGTGTGCCCAAAATCTCGAAAAGAAAATGGAAGAGAAGGGATTGTAGTGTGGCCACCTGCCCCCCAACTGGTGGGGTGATTTCTCACTGTCTGTCTCTCTGTCTCTCCGGTGAGCACATGCGCCCTATAGTAAAACTCTCTCTTCCAAAAAAAAAAGAAGAAGAAAGACTTTTCTGCAGGGTAGATGGGTGACCCTTCAGATTAGAGCTGAGCTTTGTTTCTGAGTGGCTGGGCCCACCCAACTTACAGCCTGGGTGTCTCATGGGGGCCTAAAGCTGGAGTTGAGGGGAAATCATGGGGGTGAAATCAGGCAGCAGGAAAGAGGAAGTCCTCCAGCTTTCACCAGGAGCTTTGCAGCCGGGGGAGCCAATGCCATACAGCTTCCTCTCTCTGGGCTCTGTCCCTTCTCAGCTGCTGGGGCACAGACCAAGGTTTCCCCTATGCCTGGGTATCAGTTGGCCTACCTCCAAACAAGGGACCAGAGGAGACCTAGACTACCTTGGAAGCCCCTCCTCTCAAACAAGCTTTTGGAGGTCAGATCTTTCACAAAGTCTGACTCCAGCTCCGGCTCAGAGGCAAACCCACAGGCGCTGCATTTTTCCCAGAGGACACCCCTAGGGTGAGTAGCACCAGGTGGCTGGGACTCCTGTGTGAGCAGGAGGGAACAAACCTTAGCCAGCATTGTAGTTGAGGAGGGTTACATGTTCTTTTCTTTTAAGAATGATTTATTTAATTTATTTATTCATTCATTTAATTTGATCAGAAAGACAGAGAGCGAGATAGAGCGAAAGTGAGAAAGCAAGTCACCAGGTCCAGGACTTGAACCGTGGTCGGCCCTGTGGGAGTGTCCAGCGCCTTAATCATTACGCCATCTGCTGGCCCCCGAGGGTTACATTTTCAAGAGACCCAGTGCTACAACCCTTACTCCCCAAACCCAGTGCTACGGGTGGGTCCTGGGTGACTTTTCGGTCTGCCAGTTAAGCAAGGCCAGGCAAGGAAAAGTTACAGATTAAATGCAAAGTCAACAATGTGTGGCGCACGGATGGCGTCTGTGTGCCCTGCCCGAGACCGTGTCTTTACCAGGGCAGGGTCAGAGTGCCTGAGCGCATGTGGATGTGCGCGTGTGGATGAGTGTGTCTGGACACGTGATCGTTTGTGTATATTTGCCATTCTTGAATCTTTGTCTGCTCATGAGTGAAGAGAGACGGATTTACTCTCTGTACCTGTGTTCCCATGAGAGAAGTCAGGAGCTTCTCTCCCTGTCTGGTGGGTTTTACTGCTTGCCGAGACACGAACGGAGGAAAGTGGGCTGGGCGGTGGGAAAGTGAACAAGGACGGAGCCAGGCAAGCTAGGCTCAGCTTTTCCCAGATAACACCCGCTATGTTGCACAGGCCGCACCCTGTGGCCATGCAGGCCATGGAGATTTCAGTGAGCATGCCCATTGGTCCTCCATGGTAAACATACTAAATAGCCATGAAGAATCCCCCAGGGGTTAGTTGTTTGTGAGCCTTGACTCCCAGAAACCCAACACTGGAAAGCAGAGCTGTCATCACGCTTCTGCTCCACACCTCTTTGGATGATTATTATTTTTTTTGCCCTAGAAGAATGAGTAGTTGTTGTTTTTTAGTTTTGCTATAGGGAATGTGTGCTTGCCAGAGAGAGAGAGAGAGAGGAAGAGAGAGAGAGACAGAGAGAGGGAGAGAGAGAAATCATCTGCTCAGTGGGAGGGCTACACTGCAATCCCTTCCCCTCCATTCTCTCGATAGTATGGGCACATGTGCACCTGCACCTGGTGTGATTTTCAAGCCACTGGGTCCTGGGCTTGAACTGCACGATCGGCCATGTAGGATCCAGACCTTCACCTCCACGCCACCTGTTGACCGTGTTGTTGTTTTTAAAGTTTATTTATTGCATGAGCAAGTGAGAGAGAAAGAGAGTACACTCCCAACAGGTTCTTGATGTCATCATCCACTCCTGGCCTCAGCCAGACCTGGATGTGTAACGGCCTGTGTGTGCCCGTTACACTCAGAGAGGTGCCCGGATACAAACACAGAGCCTTCCCGTGTGGGTCAACCTTGCAGGATATCGTGTTTCACTACTGGTCCACTGTTGGACCTCTCTAGGATCTTGAGGCCACTACCCCTTGGACAGCCTGCACAATTAAGATCGGGGTGGGAGAGGGCTGTGTACCTCCTGAGGCAGCTCCTTTCTTTAGAAAACTCTTCCTTACTCCTTGAAGTCCTCGAACCTAAGAACATTCTGCCCAGTTACCAAGAGTCACCGCAAAGCAGTGCTTTCCTTTGTGGTCACTAGAAGAAAACAAGCTCTGTGAGGTTTTTCTTGACCCCTAGATTTTGTATCCTGGGCTGTGGGAAACATGCCCTGGGATCCTCTCAGCCTCACCCAAGTAAAAGAGTGGGGTATATTTTACAGCTCAGCCCAGCCTCTGTCCTTCCAAGATCTGGCTATAATTCTCTTAGAGCTTCCATTTCCTCATCTTCTCTCTGTGCTCCAGCTCTGGCCTGTACCCCTGAAACATTATGACCCCATCCACAAGCCCTGTGACTCTGTGCAAGTTGGGGACAGGGAGGGAGAGAGTCACTGGCCAGCTATCTTGAGAAGGTCTCTAGGGAAGTTCCTGGGTCCTAGATCTCCCTTTTGTTCCTAAGGGTGGGGTCAGGGTTCTTCTTTGTGTGACCCCATTGGCACGATCCTAGTCTCCTGAAGTTTACCCACTCCTTCTTTGGCTGCCTACACTGGCTGGTAAGTCTTACTTTAGGAGGAACTTCAAAAAGTTTGTGGGAAAAAGGGATTAAAGTACAAGTTTATTTTGATACCAAAAAAAAAAAAATCTACGCATTGTTTTTTTTTTTTTTTTCATATTATACCTTTTCCACAAACTTTTTTTTTTGGGAGAGATTTTTTGCTATAGGGCACGTGCACTCGCCAGACAGAGACAGAGAGACAGAAAGCGAGAAATCACCCCCCAGGGCAGATGGTCACGCTGCAATCCCCTTTCCTCCATTCTCCTCTCGGGATCTTGGGCACGCACGCACACGTGCTCGGCGTGAGTTTAAGCCACCGGGTCCGGGACGCGAACTGCGGTCAACTACGTGGGAGTCCAGTGACATAGCCATTACGCTAACTGCTGGTTCCCTCCATGAACTTTTTGATAGCCCCCTCTGTCTTCTCTTTGACTCTCAGAAACGGTATGGGGCTAGTGTTTTCTGTGGACTGTCCTTCTTGATGTGTTAAATGTGCGGAAGGGTGGATTGCATCTATCTGCTCTATGCATTCCTTCCCGTTGGTTCTTTTTTCTAAGCCAGCCCTCCACCTATGACAAAAATCTTCTTCCATCCCTGATGACTCAATTTTATTAATAACCATTGTTGTGGAATCTCGACAGAGACTTTCTGAGGGTCTATATTCTTCCTTGCCTGGTTTCCCTTTATTCGCATGCTCCTCCCCCCTCCCTGAATAGGAGAATAAAAAGAGAACCAACCCCCAGCCTTGGCTAGGCGGAAAAATACCATTTGACCCAGAGGCAGCTCTGGGACTATTGCCACACATGGAGGAACCTGCTAACTCCTCAGGAAAAAAAAACTCCTGACGCAAACCAGATGTAACCTTCTGTACAGCTGCCAACATCTGGAATGCTGGCAGGGGCCTTGCACTCAGGCCCGCAGTGAGCTGCCAAGCCCGAGCGTTTCAGGGGTGGCTCTGATCTGCAGAGGGCTTCCAGCCTCTCTGTCCAGCTCAGCCCTGTGTTCCGGTTTTGGTCGCCTGGAGGGAGGAGCAGCAGTTATAGTTCTGGGACTTTGGATGAAGTTTTTCTTGACCTCAGAGAGAGCCTTTAGGTGATCTCATGGAGGGTGAGGGTCCAGCCCCAGCACTCCTGCCTCCACTCCCATGCCCTGCCTCTCGGCATTAGACACCCCTTTGGATGGGGTGTAAGCCTAAGGATAGGAGATTCTGAGGTGGGGGACTGATGGAGTGTGTGAGGCTGTTCTCTTGGTCCTGGGGCTACACGGGGTGATGCATGCATGTGCGGGAGTGCGTGCGCACACACGTGTGCACACACACACGCACGCGTGCGCGCAAACACACTCTCTCATGCAGGCACACACACTGACTCCTACTTCTCTCCCATCCAGCCGTCGGGGAGAGCCTTTTGGGTCAGATTTCTCATCACTCATGGAAACTCTGATTGTGGTTGCTTGGAAGAGGGTCAGTGGCGTTGACAGCCTTGGGGACCTCCTGGCTGGCTCAGCCAGACACTGAACAGAGCCTGATAGGGGAGAGGAAGATTGAGCGCACAGAGAGAGGAATGGTGGGAGGAGCTGAATGCAGGGGAATGAGATCCAGTAGGGGCCCCCTGCCTGCCTCAGACCTCCCTGCAGGACCCTCCTGCCTGTGGGCAGCTACAGTGACTCATCAGAGGGCCGGCTTAGGTGGGGTGAAGGACGAGCCAAGAATTTGTAGAATATTCTCCTGAGGAGGTCCAGGGGAGTGGGGAGGAGGTGGCGGGGCTGCTTTAGTTTCTTCCCGCCCTACAGGCACCCTGCTTTTCTCCAGTGCCCGGCTAGACAATCCCCAAGAAGGAGAAAGCAGGGAGGAGGCGGGTTCTGGGTGACGCCCTGCCTTTTTCTGGTGCTGACCTCTTCCCGTCTCGTCTGACTCTAGACAAGGATGAGGGTGACCACCCCAACAACAGCTTCAGCCCCTGCAGCGCCCAAGACCGCAGGTGCCTGCAGAAGCACTTCGCCAAGATGCGAGACCGGAGCAGCAGCGGGGGCAAGATGAAAGTCTTCGGGCTGCCCCGGGAGGACGCCCGGCCTGTGGTGAGGCCCTGTGACCCACATGTATGCATGTGTGTAGACACGCACACACACGCCACCGTCACCTCTATGGATGGGCTGTGTTCATTTAGCAAACCTTCTTCCCCTGCCCACTGGGTGCAGGCCGCGTCTGGCACTCGTCCCTGGGACCCGGAGAGAGCCCTTATTCCCTTCCTCGAGAGTCCTTTCCTGCCCTCACTGTACACACCGGATGGCTGAAGTGACTGCGAAAGGCTGAAATGCTTCTGCACTGAATGGCAGAAGCAGTTGCCCCACGCCTCCTGTGTTTCTTGGCCCTTCTCTTGGATTCCCTGCCCCAGACCTTCTCAGGAACTAGAGGGTTAAGGCTGACCATAGCAGAGGCCTTGGGCCCCTCTTCCAGGGTCTGGCAAATGTCCTTTCTGATGGGCGGTTCTGGTGGATCCGTGCCCGAGTCCTACACTTTGTTAATTGTATGAATTTTGTTGTTCCTCCTACTTCAAAATCACCCCCTCCCTGGCTGCCTCCCTAGGTTTCCACAGCCTGTTTCCCCACGAGGTCCCTTCACTTCACAACCTCCTTTCCAGAAGCTCTTTGGCTCAGACCCTCTCCTCGTTGCCGCTCTGCTTTCCCCACCAGTGTCCCCGGGACCCACCCCCTGCCTTCCCCTCACTGGGTCTAGCCCAGACCCAGCCTTGACCCTCCTTTCAGCCCCCAGCCTGGCCCTCCTGATCCTGTCCCTTGTGCTGAGCAGTTTTGTGTCCCCTCCCTCAGCCCCAGGGCTCCTGCCAGAGTGAGCTGCACCGGGCTCTGGAGCGGCTGGCCGCCTCGCAGAGCCGCACCCATGAAGACCTCTACGTCATCCCCATCCCCAACTGCGACCGCAATGGCAACTTCCACCCCAAGCAGGTGGGTCCTCGACACCTACAGCTTGGCTCTGGTCTCAAGTCCGGGGACATTCTTGGCACTTGCCGCAGGATGGTCCGGAATGGAGATCTCAGGAATGGGGGGCACCGCCGTGATCCAATCCTAACCCCTGGGATCCTCCCTGAGTCCTAGCTCAGCCTGAAAATCTCACTCTAGATGAGGAGACTGAGAGTCAGAGAGTCAGATAGGCTCCAGGGAACCCAGAGTCAGAGTGAGTTAATGACAGAGCCTGGCTCCCCATCTGGGGCTATTTCTGTCACTCTGGATTCCCCATCTGTGTGTAGACTGAGCACCCCTGCCAGCCTCTGGCTCCTGACACTTACTTACCCTCTTCCATGCCTGTGAGTAGTCTCCCTGTCACTGAATGTCTATTTCATCTGGAAAAAGAGGGCCTCAGCCATGAGGGGTAGAGGAGGAAACCCAGCCTGCCCACTCCCTCAGGTTGAGCAGCAAAAACTACCTTGGGTAGTTTTGGATGGAGGTGGAGCCAGATATGACAGCTAGAGACAGGCATTTTGGGGTGGAGCCAAGGAGGCGGGCAGGAGAGGACATAAAGGTAGCAGCCCCCATCTCCCCTCATGCCTTTGGAACATGGAGTCCCCTGACAAGCCCCCAGGAGGCTGGGATGTCCAGCAGGGTCGGCCTGCTCCAGCCCACCTCTGGCCTGCTGTGAGGAGAGAAGTATATCTGGGAGGGGTTCCCGTGGGGCGTGGGGAGCCCTGGCTGGATCTCCGTCTCCAGCTCTTTGTGGGCAGAGATACACACTCCTCTACCCTGTGTGCTTTGCACAAATCCACAATGTAGGTGGCCACTTGGCACAGCAGAGGCCTGGCTAGGCGGGCAAGGGCTGCCCCTGGGTCTGAGTACCCCAGGATGGCATGAGGAGGGTGTGAGGGCTCCCCAAAACCAGTGTCCGGCCTATCTCCAGCCTCTTTCTCAATGCTGATGTTATTCTTGTCCTAGTT